GAAGGAGAAAAAAGAGGGGTGCCCCGACCTTACCGCGCCACTGCCGCTGAGGAGGAGAGGTAGGAGAGCACTGGGAGGGCAAGTACACGTGGCCGAGCCCAGACCCAACCCGAGCCTTCTCCACGGCAGCTAGCGCTCCAAGAGAGCAGGCCGGAGCCCAGAGGAAGGCCGTGTAACAGAGGAGACCACAATGGTTGGCCATTGTGAAAATGCAATGCTGGACTAGTTCTTCTGATGTTTAAAGATTTCTTATTTTTGTCTCCAGAAGAGGGGACAGTAGACTGCAAGTGCCGACCAGTGACCAAGCCCACAGAGCATTACTCTGGGAGCATTACCTATCAGACCACGGCTAGGGTTTGCAAGCAGGGCACAGCTTGCATCTCATTAGACTCTGTGCAGAAGCTGCTGGAGCATGAGGTCAGTAGCAAGCAAAAGAGAAAAGATGCTGTATTGCGCAAAAGAACTACCACCACATCAAAGAACCATGTGCTTGGCAAGTGCCTGATTTGGACTAAACACTTGAAGATGCGGCATGTTAAGCAGAAGAAGAGCTTGCTGGATCTGGCCCATCTAGTCCAATATCCTGTTCTCACAGTGCCTTTGGGAAAACTTTCAGCATAATCCTGAAGCCGTCCACAAAGCCAGGGGTAACAGCTGCCCCTAAAGTCATGCCCCTTTGCAACCTGGGCTGAAGCGCTTTCTAGATTGCTGGAGTGCTTGCATACTAAGGCAGATGCAGTAACCATGCTATCATGACTCTTAGTGCCTTTGAATCTAGGAGCCTTCCAGCCATGACAATTGGCTGTAATAATACAGTTTTAAAGCACTGCTTTAAGAAATATTTCATTTGCCACTCTAAAAGAAACACAGCGTTTGAGAGGAGATGTTAAATCTTCCCTCAGATTGTTTCTGCTGCTTTTTTCCATGAGGAAATTGCATATGTGAGTGGAGGGGGGTGTTTTTAAATTAATAAAGAAAAACTAGGAAAACAAAATATGTGATTCACCCTCTATTATTCTTCCAAACCAAGGACTTTCACATTTGTACGCAGCAGTCTACATGTATTAACATGCACAAAGGCTGCCTTTGTGCAATTTGTTTCCTTTGCTGGTACATCATGTTGTCGAGCAGCTTGGCTCAAAGAGCATAGGATTGGTCAATGCAGGTGCTATAATGAGGCAAGGTGGGGCTTGCGGACAGTCCCAGGGAGTGCTTCCTTCCTGCCCACTAACACTGGCTGTCCAACTGTCCAGCTCTCAGCCAGCCAACCACCCCTTTTCCCAGCCTCCCTTCTCTTTCACGAGGAATACTGCACAAGGTTGCAATAAGAGTGGGGGCTAGAAAGGCTGTTGAAACTTAGCAAAGTAACTTTAAAAATTTTGCTATGTTTTAAACAAGTTCTCTAGCTACTACAGCAGCAGCAGCAGTGCAGGCACTGTCCCAGCCATGTCACCCAGAATGCCTTGCTCTAAGGAAGGATCCCCTGAGCCATTCCTCAGAGTGAGGCAGATGTGATGGGAGAAACTGCTAACAGTGCCACCAAGGGAAGTCATAGTTCTGCTCTGTCCTGCCCTGGTCAGACCACACCTGGAATACTGTGTCCAGTTCTGGGCAACACAATTTAAGAAGGAGATTGACAAGCTGGAATGTGTGCAGAGGAGGGTGACCAAGATGATCAAGGGTCTGGAAACCAAGCCTTATGAGGAACAGTTGAAGGAGCTGAGTATGTTTGGCTTGGAAAAGAGGAGACTAAGAGGAGATATGATAGCCATCTTCAAATATCTCCAAGACTTGATCTGGCAACCTTGCCAGATTTAAAGCTTTATTATGAGGCCTCATGTCTGTGTTGGCTAAAAGAATGGATGACTCTGAAAAATACGTATATACTGGACACAGACGGATGGGATAACAGATATGGGTGGCATACATACCTAGGCTACAATAACATGAAAGTACATAGGGGGGGTTTAAATCATATAATTCGAAAATCTCTATATACAGTTTGGGACAGATATAAAAACTTGCTGGAGCCAATCTCTACAATTCTCTGATTCTCTGATGGTTAAACCATTCTAGGATTTGCAGCTCTGTGAGGGGAATAAGGACCGCCTAACAATTCTAGGCACCATTAACAAATTATATAATAAAAAAATTGAACACTGTTAACAAGTCCTACAATTCCCAGGATATTTTAAATGTATAGTACAAATGGGTGTCACAGATATTTCTATGAGAAATGTGAACTGAGTTGTTTTCTCATGGCAAAGGTCCTGTAGTCTATCGTTTCTTCCAGTGACCTTACCAATTGCCTTAGTACAACTGCAGAGGGAAATGAATTTACAGAAAAAGGAAAGCAGGGAGTGTGTCCTGTATCAGATTGCTACAACACAGTATCTCCTTTTTTTTCTTAACCAGTTTCCCAGAATTGTTAGGACTATTGGAGATTGCAGGACTCTTAATTGGTTCTCAGAACACTGCTTTCTTCTTTGGTGAAAAGGAAGTTGTCAAGAGTAAGAGAAACAAATTGGACATCCATATCATTTCTGTGAAGTAGGAAATGCGAGCTATAAATAGCACACCAAGGAAACAGAATGAGAGGCAGAGAGTCATAAAAATGGTATGAATAAAAGAGACTGAAGTGTTAAAGGATCGCTGTTGCACTTAACTTGAACTTTGCTCAGCACTTCTCAGTCTCTTTCTGGGGATGGCAAAATTTGCAATGAAGGAAGCAGCAGGGTGTTTTCTATCCCAATGAAGTTAAGTTTTTCATGTTTTGTTACATTTTGGTTGGTGGACTTCATGCCTCAAAGGTACATCTCCCCCAGTGCACTGACACCTGACAACCTTCTCCACATTATATAAAATTCAGAATTCATTCAGCAATAAGTGGCTAATTCCAGAAAAATGAGAAATACCAATGAGGAGAGTTTGCCTAGCATCTACCACTGCAAGCAATGGTTATCACATGCATTCATAAATATACAACTGAAACATGTGCTATTCACAAGCAGCAACACCACTTCATTTCTCTACAGTTCATCACTGTGCTCAAAAATCAGCAAGCCTTTCTTGAAGCCAATTATCAAGGGCTTGGTTGAAACCCACAATTTGTTCTCCTGATCCACCACCTATACGTTGGGAAGGGGGGAGGCATTCTGATGTTATGCCGACCTCAAGACGCAGCACAGTTGGAGGGTAGAATGCTCTATCCCATGAGACCAGGGCCCTGCAGGATTTAACTTCCTTCCGCAGGGCCTGTAAAACAGAGCTATTCCGCCTGGCTTTCAATTTGAACTTAGCCTGATCTTTTATTCCCCTTCCTTCCCTCCCCCTCCCCTTTTTATGAAGATTACCCGCTCTGGGATCCCACAGCTAATTCTCCCCTGGTCTCCTCACTGGCCCAAATAGGACTAATTTATCCAGCCAGCCCTGGTGATCATCTAATGTTTATTGGATGGGTTTCCCCCCTAAATTGATTTTTGAATTCTGATTTTTTTGTTATTCATGTTTTATACTTTATTTTATGCTGTTTTTTGTTGCATCAATTAAGTGTTTTAAATTTGCTGAGCCCGGTTTTCTGAACCGGGAAGGGCGGGGTATAAATAAAAAATTATTATTATTATTAGGGAGCTGACCGGCTCTCCTTCCAGAGGAGAGAGATGAGAACTATTGCATTAAGCCTCAGATGCTCAGAAAGCAGCAAGAAACCCCATGGCTTTTCAAGTGTTTCCAAGAATCACTACAGCAGCTGGAGGAGACCGTACTATTGTTAAGTGCTTTGAAGTCAACATGCCTCCCCATCATTCTTCAAGCAAGGAAGAAGTTCAGGGGTCCTCAGCACAGCAGAAAAACAACAACATACTTGTAAGTGGAATGCTTGCTGGATCAGATGAAAGCTACCTTAGACGAGGTTACAGCATTTCTCAATCCAGCCCAATATGATCTGCACTGACAGGGATCTCAAGATGTGATCTTTCATATCAGCTGCTGCCCACTCCCTCTTTTGAAACCAGAGAAAACCAGGGACTCCACCACTAAGTCACAACCCTTGCCCATTCATAATTCTGGAAACTTCCTCCCTGCCTCTATTTAGTTTGTTAGCTATGGACAAACTTGGTCCCACTCAACTGTATCTGGCAAAAGCACCCATGCCACCATGTATACAAAAAAAACACCTGCCTGTGATCATCTGTTATCTTTGTTGAACTCATTTCCCATTGAAACCAATGAGACTTAAATCATGGCCAAAATGCTCTGTTGATTTCAATGGGAAATAAGGCCAAGATACTTAACTCTAGGTGGACGTGGGTGGTGCTGTGGTCTAAACCACAGAGCCTAGGACTTGCCGATCAGAAGGTCGGCGGTTCGAATCCCCGTGACAGGGTGAGCTCCCATGGCTCGGTCCCTGTTCCTGCCAACCTAGCAGTTCGAAAGCACATCAAAGTGCAAATAGATAAATAGGTACCACTCCGGTGGGAAGGTAAACGGCGTTTCCGTGCGCTGCTCTGGTTCACCAGAAGCAGCTTAGTCAGGCTGGCCACATGACCCAGAAAAACTGTCTGTGGGCTCCCTCGACCAGTAAAGCAAAATGAGCGCCGCAACCCCAGAGTCATTCGCGACTGGACTTAACTGTCAGGAGTCCTTTACCTTTTTACTTAGCTCTAGATCCAACTAAATGACTGTAAGCAATATCCAATGGAGATCTTTTGGGCCGATGCCTTTCCTGCTCTTCCACAGATATGGCCTAGCACACCCTTACATTTTTGCTCCTATTGATATCAGATCTATCGATTGCAGTGAGGCCAGGGTGTCAGAGGTTTCTGCAGAAGCCTGAAGTGGGGAAATGGGACATCAAATCTCCATCTTCAATGTCAGAAAGATTTGATAAATCCTGCGGTGCTTGGGATGCCCTCCCTATGGCCATGAGAATGCAGTCCAAAAAATCACAATATACTACTAAAATTTCATTTAAAATGTATTATCAATTGAATACAATTTTGCCGGTTGATAGCTCAGTTGGTTAGAGCATGGAGCTGATAACTCCAAGTTTGCGGGTTTGATCTTCTTATGGGATAGCTGCATAGAATCACAGACTCATAGAATTGTAGAGTTGGAAGGGACCCTGAGGGTCATCTAGTCCAACCCCCCGCAATGCAGAAATCTTAGCTGAAGCATCCATGACAGATGGCCATCCAACCTCCAAGGAAGGAGAACCCACCTTCTCCCTGCATTGCAGAAAGTTAGTCTACTTCCAGTATAAAATAGCTGGCAGTGATCTACCCATGGACATTCAAGGGGGGAGCTTTTTTTAGGGGGGGGAGTTCAAAGAAACGGAAAAACAATGTCCATTAGACGCGAGGGAGGGACAGAGCGGGGGCAGCGGGGGGCAGAGACTTTCAGCCCAATTTTTTTTTTCATCCACTGATCGGGAGGGATCACGCAATCGACAGGGAGCATCCAGGGATCTACCTGTCAATCCTGATAGACCAGTTGGACATCCCTGGTCTAGATGATCCTCAGCGTCCCTAACAACTCTACAGTTCTATGATTCTATTGCTTTATACTTGAAATATCATCTTGCCCCTTATATATCCAGTCAGCCGATGTGTTCTGCAGCTGAGGGCCTCCTAAACATGGCATCTTATCAGGAGGTCACTTCTGCACTGCATTGGACCTTTAACATTGTGGCACCAACCTACCCTTTCAAATTCTCTCCCCATGAATATTAGACAGGCACTGTCTCTGTTCTCTTCTTGGTGCCAACTGAAGAAGAAGAAGAGGAGGAGTTTGGATTTGATATCCCGCCTTTCACTCCCTTTAAGGAGTCTCAAAGCGGCTCACAATCTCCTTTCCCTTCCTCCCCCACAACAAACACTCTGTGAGGTGAGTGGGGCTGAGAGACTTCAAAGAAGTGTGACTGGCCCAAGATCACCCAGCAGCTGCAGGTGGAGAAGCGGAGACGCGAACCCGGTTCACCAGATTACATGACTACCGCTCTTAACCACACTGGCTCTTCAGGAGAAGACCCTCCTCTTGCAACAAACTTTTTAAGTAGAGATATTTTCCTAATATGCATCTATGTTCAAACTGTTTTGAGATGCTCTTGTTGTTTATTGCTTGTGGGTTTGCCATCTTGGGCTCCTTTAATAAACTTTTTTTTTTTTTTAGAGGAAGGGTGGGATATAAATTTAATAAAGAAATAAAATGTCATTAAGATGAAAACAGCTTGAAAGTATTCAACCTGCATCTCTAGTGCTATATTGCTACACTTTTATCATTTTACTAACACAGCGGCGTAGCGTGGGTTGTCAGCACCCGGGGCAAGGCAAGTAATTTGCGCCCCCTAACCCAGGGCAAGGCAAGTAATTTGCGTCCCCTAACCCCTAACCTGCCGCCGCTGCCAGCTTCTTCTTGCTGCTGCCTGGGCTGGTCTGGTGTGGTTCTCTCCCACGCTCAGCGCTGCGCTGGGCGGCCGCTGCACTGTCCCTCCCCCAGATAGTCCCTCGCTCTCTCTCCACACCGCACGCCTGGCACCCACCCCCTCCACAGTGGGCGGCAACCCAGCGGCTCGGATCAGATTCGCACAGCCAGCACTGCAGTGAGAGAGAGTGAGTGAGCCAGGTAGGGGCAGAGAACTGTGAGTGCGAGCGCGCCCCCCAGATGTTGCGGCCGGTGCGGCCGGGCCCCCCCTGCACCCCCCACACTACGCCACTGTACTAACAACATCCAAGTAAAACTGTACATGTAGAACTCCTAATAGTTTGCAAACAAATGACAGCTTCAACTACCAGACTTTTTTTTTTTTTTGACTGCCAATTTCTTTTCAAGCTGGCTGGTTTTCCTCAGCAGCACAAAAATTAGAGGTATATGTGTGATGAATCCAAGGTGAGTCAAACCATCTGTCTTCCAAGCTCAAGAGGCAGGTATAAATTCACTAGATACTCAAATACATCAAAATTGTTGCTCCTTCCACGGGTCTCCTGTTTTCTTAATTAATCCACATTTTCTAGTCCTCTGGAAAGTCATAATTTGGTGTCATTCCTAGAATTTTGAAGGCTACAATCTTCTTCTCCCAGGAGCCAAAGCAGCAACAAGGAGGAAATCATGTGTACAGGAACTGCAACAGCAAAGATCATTCAGTTTGTAATTTAAGAGTTAATCTAGTTGTCAATGAGCCAACTAACCAAGTAGGTGTGGGGAGGTGCTGCTGCTTAGCAACCAAGCTGGTTGGCGTGATGTTTGGTGGGGTAGTGAGTGCATTGGCTTGTAGTTCTGTGGCAATTTTTCCCTGTCTTTCCTCTATTTGGCTGAATGTTTCTCTGATATGTACATGGCCTGAAGAAAGAAAAACAAAATCAGTGTATTTCTCCTTTTTTGTTCTGTTTCCTCAGTTCCATTTGCCGTGTGCCTCACTGCCCTCTTCACACTCTGACTTGGAACCAGTAGTGTAGTGGCAAATTCAGAAGTGCAGAGTTCCTTCATGATAAGTCACAGCCACACTCTCACAACCTTCTAATACAATAATCTTATAATTATATAGTAGTAATAATAATTAGGTATAAGGTAAAGGTAAAGGTAAAGGTAAAGCAATCCTTGACCATTAGGCCCAGTCGTGACCGACTCTGGGGTTGTGGCGCTCATCTCGCTTTATTGGCCGAGGGAGCCGGAGTACAGATTCCGGGTCATGTGGCCAGCATGACTAAGCCACTTCTGGTGAAACCAGAGCAGTGCACGGAAGCACTGTTTACCTTCCCGCTGGAGCAGTACCTATTTATCTACTTGCATTTTGATGTGCTTTTGAACTGCTAGGTTGGCAGGAGCAGGGACTGAGCAACAGGAACTCACCCTGTTGCAGGGATTAGAACCGCCAACCTTCTGATTGGTAAGTCCTAGGCTCTGTGGTTTAGACCACAGTGCCACCCACGTCCAATAATTAGGTATACCTTGCAGCAATCAATGCAGAGCTCCCTCCCTGTGTTCCTTTTTTATCCATATACACTGTTTTCTGTGCATTTACACAGGCAGATGATTCGGAGTGCTCCAATGTCTTATTTTGGAGTGACTTATAGTATGCTGTGTTTTCCTCAAGGTCCCATTGAATATAACAGTAACTGAGCACCATTCTCTTGAAACAGAATCAGCTTGTTTTTACATTGTTCCCAGATGGTTAGCTTTTGAACGTACAGAACAGCTCTTGCTCGGCATTCTTCCGGGACACCTTCTCCGGAATGACCCCAGGAGTATATCCTCAGTGGTTGACTAATCTCCTTTCACTCTGATTGGGTCAAACGGTGAGAAGACTTATTCTCAGTGGCTTAAAATATCCCCTTTCATGCTCATTGGGCATATCTATGATGCTGAAGACCGTGCTAGGACCCTGCCACAAAAACAGTAACAATTCCTCGACTCCTCATGACCCCGGACCCCTACTCCCCCACCCCATTTTGTCTGCTTCGAAGACAGAGGTCCTTTGGCTGAGCCGGGACGATATGGGGTTAGGGGCCCAACTTGCATCCCTTGCGGGGGCACAATTAGTGCCAGCACCTTTCATCAAGAGTTTGGGTGTAATCTTCGACTCCTCCCTTTCTATGGAGTCGCAGGTTACAGCTACAGTGGTACCTTGGGATACATACGCTTCAGGTTACACACTCCGCTAACCCAGAAATAGTGCTTCAGGTTAAGAACTTTGCTTCAGCATAAGAACAGAAATTGGGCTCCTGTGGCAAGGCAGCAGCAGGAGGCCCCATTAGCTAAAGTGGTGCTTCAGGTTAAGAACAGCATTTTTTCACCTCCGCCGAGCTAAGCAGTTGGTCCCTTATCTCTCTTGCCCTGACCTCACCACTGTGATCCATGTGGCAGTCACCTCCAGGCTTGATTATTGTAACTCACTCTACATGGGGCTGCCCTTGAAACTGACCCAGAAACTCCCGTGGGTGCAGAATGCCGCAGTGAGACTCCTCATGGGGTCCTTGCTGCGGGATCACGTTCATCTGGTGCTATACCAGCTGCACTGGCTCCCGGTGGAGTACAGGATCAGGTTTAAGGTGCTGGTCTTAACCTTTAAAGCCCTATACAGCCTAAGACCCTCATACCTATGGGACCGCCTCTCCTGCTATGCCCCATGGAGGATCTTAAGGTCTGCAGATAATGACACCCTGAAGATCCCAGACCCCAGGGAGATTAGACTGGCCTTGACCAGGGCCAGGGCCTTTTTGGCCGTGGCCCTGGCCTGGTGGAATGCTCTCTCACAAGAGACCAGGGCCCTGCAGGATTTGACATTTTTCCACAGAGCCTGCAAGATGGAGCAGTTCCGCCAGGCCTATGGTTGGGATTCAGTCTTTTCTTTCTGTATAAGAACAAGCATTAAAGAGGCCTCCTAGCCCACTCACAGGTCCTTTTTAAGACCAGTGGTAACAGTTGGCCCTGGAGAATATGAACCACTCTCAATTGTACCTGTGGACTGCCGTCTGTCCAGATTTTAATTTGCTCTGAACTAATTTTAAGATGTATTTTAATTAACTGATTGCCTGTTTTTATGTTCTTATGTTCTTTGTATACTATGTTAGTTTTATGATGTTAGCTGCCCTGAGCCCGGCTCCAGTCGGAGTGGGTGGGGTACAAATAAAAATTTATTATTATTATTTTGAACACCTGAAGAAAAGGGCTGCCATCAACCTGTGCCCTGTATTTTCCCCTAGACGACTCAACCTAACCAAAGCTGCTGGTGGATTTCACCTGGGTTTTTGTTCTTTTATAACAGAAGCTTGTCTTATGTTTTTAGGGGTTGATAGAAAAGAGGCAGAGAAATGTTGAGAGAAAGAGACAGGCCGGCACGTAGGATGCTCTGAGATCAAAGCAGAGCCACCAATTTGTGTTTCATGGCAACAGCCACCCATCAGCAGATTCTATGCTGAGAACAGCGAAATTTGTAGCTTGTATATATTAGTGGCAAACTGCTTGTTTCCCCCCCAGTTTAGGATAAGCTTATTGAGCTGCTGTGAGCTACATATAGTACCAAGCCTGCAACCAGTCATTAGCCACACCGTCCAAAGCCTATTTTTACAAGAACTGAG